TCCGCCGGAACGGACTAATTGCATTTCAATGCATTCCTATGGGAAATGGTGCTTCGACGTACAACAATTTCAAGTTACGTCCATCTCCTGAAATGGATTATGGCCATAAACCGATGCACCACTGTAGCTGTATGTTCTGGAAAAAGCTTGCAAGACTGAGACTTGGAAGGGCAGCTACTGTGTTTCCCCGAAAATAAGACAGGGTCTTATATTAATTTTTGCTCCCCCCTCAAAAAAAAGAACACATTAGGGATTATTTTCATGTACAACAATCTACATTTCTTCAGATACAGTTATGTCATCTTCTTCTGGTTGCTGCACAATATTTGAGGATGGGGTTTCCCTTAACTAGGGCTTATTTTTGGGGGTAGAGTTTATATCACAAGCATCATACTAGGGTTTATTTTCAGGTTAGGTCTTATTTTCAGGAAAACTGGTAGGAAGGAACTAAAAAGTGTACAGATTTGTCAGTGGAGACCAAGGCCAAAATAAAGCACCCTATTATTACTATTTATGGAACTTTGTGAATATCATAGACCACAAAACGAAACAAAAATAGGGTCTGGAACAAGTCATGTTGACCTCTCTTCAGAGGTAAAAATGATGAAACGGAGACTATCAGACTTTGGGCATATCGTAAGACTTGCTGGAAAAGACAATAATGCCAGGAAAAGTTGAAGGCAGCATGGGAAGAGAAAGACCAAATATGAGATATTTTTACTCAAAGAGTGGTGATCTTGGGTTTGCAAGAACTGAACAAGGCTGTTAATGGTAGGACACTTTGGAGGAGGTCTCTTACGCATAGAGTCACAAGTCAGAGGTAATTTGAGGGCACATAAATTAGAAGGATAAAGGGCTCAGGAAGTCAAGGGAAGAAGTCATTAAATAGACTAATGGAGACGGCATAGTAGCCACAGAATGTTCTTACTGCTGAAAGGTAGAAATGGAACAGTAACAGAACAAAATTCTTGGAAGTTGGCTCAGCTGAAAACAATCTTGACTAGAAATGCGGGTATTTGTATGCGAATCTCCCCCCCACGAGGGTCCAGCCCCATGGGGCCAGAATGTCCATTCATGATTCCACTCCCGCGAGCTCAACAGAGCCTTCCTATTGCTCCGTTGTCCACAATGGATTTGCCAGTCCTGGCACATGACGGGATGACGAGCCTCTCTGCCAGGTCATAGAGTGGCTAATCCATTGCGAGCAAGAGTGATAGGAAGACTCCGTTGAACTCGCGTCAGCAGCGGAATCGTGAGTGGACAGACCCTTGTTATCGCCACCTGTGGGGAGATATTCATGTTCGTATACAAATACCCCCATCTCTAATCCTGACCACACCCACTCCACTTTGAAATATTCTATTGGAAGCCTTATTGAACATACAGTGATGCCTTGCAAGATGAAATTAAGTTTTTCTGCGAGTTGTGTTTTATTGCAAAAATTTCATCTTGTGAAGCGTGGTACTAACGGTTGTGCGATTTAAAACAAAAAAAGGGGGGGAAATCATCTTGCGAAGCATGGCCATAGAAAAATGTGTCTTGCGAGTCGCAAAAAAAAAAGCAAAATGCTTTCATCTTGCGAGTTTTTCGTTGCATGAGGCATTTGTCTTGCGAGGCATCACTGTATACAAAAGTTACTGTAATAACGGGACAGCCAAAAACGTGTTAATATTCAAAGTGCCACAATACCTTTCTGTTATATACACACTGCAGCAAGTGTGTCACTGTGTAGTATATGAAATGGGTCTTCAATATACTACTGCTTATCCCTTGCTGTCTCTGTAGCAGCCATTTCTTTTGCAACAGGGGTGGCCCAGGTGTGGTCTAATAAACATCAGGAGCCCCCCATCTCTAAACCTCTTAAATGTAATTAAAAAAGTTTTGGGGCCACTAGGGGGCATGTTTTAGTAAAAACCTTTCAATTAATAAAAATCCGCTGTAGCGTCTTTTTCCACACATAACTGCTAAGAGAGAGAGAGAGAGAGAGAGAGAGAAATGTTGACTATGTCCCTTTTCTCGCCACCCCTTTGGAAATATGATATACAAGCTGCCAACAAATCTGAAAAATGCCCTTGACTTTGATGAGATCACCCACCTATAAGTTAGAGGTTCAGCCAGAGAACATTTATATTACTGCATGCTTTCACTTCAGTTTCCAGTTAGTTACACAGTAGGGCCCCTTCATCCGCAGGATCAGTATCCATGGTCTAAAAATATTAAAACAAAAATCTTGAAATAGATACCAGAACTAACCCTGGAGGCATCCAGAGAATATTGGAGTTCAGTAAAGAACTCATATCATTACCAGAATTGGCAACTAGATGGAGCCTGATGCCATGCTATTCCACATTTTTCAGCATTAACGGGGGGGGGGAGGGCAACTTAGAACCACTCCTCCATAAATGGGGGGTTGGTGGTCATACGGTGCAGACACAATATAAAGGAAAGCTCTACATGACTCAGGAAACAGGAACAAGTATGTCAGAAGGCTTGCATGCTTTCCCCATGAAAAAGGGCTTGTCTTCACAAACCTGGTTTATAGACAAGAAACTGAGTTACTAAACTGATATAATTAACTCTGGGTGGTGCCACTTAAAAGACTAAACAGTGTTAGCCTTAATTACAATAGACCCATTCAAAGCAATGGAATTTACATTAGAATAACAAGCCACATGCATTCCAATGGATCTACTTTAAGGTAAAGGTTCCCTTTGACAATTTTTGTCCAGTCGTGTTCGACTCTAGGGGGCGGTGCTCATCCCCATTTCCAAGCCATACAGCCAGCGTTTTTGTCCGAAGACAATCTTCCGTGGTCACATGGCCAGTGCGACTTAGACACGGAACTCTGTTACCTACCCACCGAGGTGGTCCCTATTTATCTACTCTCATTTTACATGCTTTCAAACCGCTAGGTTCGCAGGAGCTGAGACAAGTGACGGGAGCTCACTCCATCGCGTGGATTCGATCTTTCGACTGCTGGTCTTCTGACCCTGCAGCACAGGCTTCTGCGGTTTAGCCAGCAGCGCCACCACGTTCCACCTGGATCTACTTTAGTGAGGACTAATACCGGATTTAGCTGTAAGTAGAGATGGTTACGAACTGCTGGTTCGGCAGTTCAACGTGGTTCATTTCCCAGCTGAACAGCTGATCCATTTTTCTGCACCCTATCTCAACAGGAATCACTCGGCAGCAATGCCAGGACATGGCAGGTAGGGACATGCCCACAGGAGGGGTTAAGGTGCTGAACTGTAAGGCTTTAGAACAGAAAATATCTGACAGTGATGCAATAGGTACCTTCAAAGGCTAGAGCCTTAATCAGATGTTGCAATAGTGTACTATACAAATGTGAGGTGAGGGCAGTACTAATCTTGCCACCTTGTTGTATTATGTTATATAACAGTGATATGTCCGAAAGAGTAAAACCCCTTCTATCCATGGAAGCTCTCCATGCAATCAAGAATCTCGATTTTCCTATGTTTTTGATCACATACAGTGTTCATGATTAAAGGGCTTTCTTCTTCAGATATGTCACCTTTTCATGAGGAAAGTGACAACAGAGGGGGTCAGAACTAGCATTCTCCCTTCCATACAAAACTAAACAATCCACTTTCTTAATGCCTGAAAAGAGCTTTAGTACCATTCCATCAAGGGGAAGTAAAAAGTGAACTACTATAGAGCTAGTTTACACCAACAGATTAGTTCTTCTGACCAAGAATGCCACAGATGAATAGGAGAGAACTAAAGTGCATAGCATCTTAGAGAATTTAGAGATAATGAAACATGTGGGATCTGATGGAACTAATAGATGAAACAGAAGTCTGGTAATACATTCTAAATTAGTTGTGTCTGAAATATGCATTCCTGTTTTGTATATTTAATACAGAAGTTCTTGGATCTGTTTAAGGAGAAAGGCAAGGTAAAAATGTTTTAAATAAACAAAATGGGGATTCTATGATTTTTTTTTAGGTGAACACCACATAACACAGATCAAGTGAATAAATACTCCACACAACTGCTTGAAAAATAACAAGTATGAAGAATGGTCTACATTGGGCTACCAATGATGCTTGCTAAATGAACTTTTGTTGCACTCACAGAAATGGCTAGTGGCATGCAGGTCCTCCAATACAGAAGCCCCTTTTTACACAATTGTGTGTGTACAGGGAAGCATCTATTGTAATTACAAGATACTCATGCCAGTGAATCAAACCAACAGAAAAGGAGTATTCATTCATCTGTATAGCTGGCTACAAATGTTCATTTCCTTCCACAGAGGAAGTCACCTACAGTATATTTGGAACATGTTGTGAAACTTGCCCATTATGGACTTGCCCTACAAAAAAAATGGGACACTTCTCTTGAGGGCTAACATAAAAACTTAAGATTCTTATTCTCTTGGAGGAATTGCTTTATATGTAATATCAATGCATTTTAAACATTTACATCAGTTCTTCAAAACAGTACACCCTGGGCTGCTTTCGCAGAAAAGCAGCATTTAAAAGCAATAAATATATAAATAAAACACTGTTGCTTCAGATGCAGCTACTTTTCAAATTAATGCCAAATATGGGGGGGGGGGCAGTGATGTGTTTAAATGCAAGCTTTCATTTAAGAGTTTGGGGTGGCACAGTCCAGAGTTATAGCATCCACAGTCTACCACTTGATTCTACATAATTTCAACCTATTTTAAAACTGACAACAGACATGTAGTAAGATTGCACTATGCTGGTTTTACATTAAAGCTTGCCTCCAGCCATATGTGCTTTAGATTTCTACTGCAATGCCTTCTGTTCAATCCACATGGCTGATCTTGTCAACCGGGGAAAACAGGTATCTCTTCAAAGGAGCAGCTCTGGCCTATGGACTTTTTTTTTTTTTTTACTGAAGAGACAAATTACTCCCTTCAAGTGATGGAGAAGACAGTTATTCAGAGCTACCATGCAAAGATAATCCCAAGCAAAACAACACATTTTTGTGAGAAAGAAACAAACTCAAAGCCTTACAATTAGATGTTACTTTTAATAGGAAGTAAAAGGGGATGTGCATAATCTTTAGGGAACCAATAACTTGATTGTTCATCTATTTTCTGGTTTTTGAACATCTCTTCAAGACCAAAATATTTTCACAATGCTTTTTAAACAGAAGAGAAGGCAAATTACTGGAATATTACAGTCCCTGTAAAGCAATACAAATGACAATAGCCTTTAGTCCCAGAGATTGAAACTATAAGATTACAAGCATTTAAGACACCTAGTTTTGAAATATTTGCAGCTGTATTCATCAGGTCAGTTTCACTTTAAACAAAATATAGTTAGGATGGAATCTGATTTTTTTCATAAATACTTTCACTAGCATGGAGAGTTTACATTTTCTTCAGTGGCAATAAAAAAGTGCTCAATTCACAAAGAGGGATACATCAAACCCAAAACATGCAATCATTTTGATTTTTTTATTTAAAAAAAATCTTTATTGTAACCCAACATTGAAGTAAGCAGTAATTAGGTAATCTTGTATTTGCTTAAAAGTAAACTATTTTTGTTTGTATGTACATAGTCTCTCCATTTGTTATGAAAGGAAGGAGCAGGGACAGGAAAAGAGCTCTCAAAATCAATGATAAAAAAATGAGTGATATTAATTTGAATTTTTAATCCAGCGCTTTCTTTATGTGAAATAATGGGTCTCTTGCAGTTAGAGACATCTGAAGCAGCAAAAAACCCAGCACCTACATTTTTGGCATATTTTTACAGTTACTCAAATATACTTTTCTTAAAGTCACAAAGCCATTATCCAGTGTTACCATGAAATACAGACTCTCAATTCTAGGTAGCCTTCGCTATCTTCAAGACCAATGTTAATTAAAAACAAACAAAAGCAGGGCACCACACTAATTTTGGGAACTAGTACATAAAAGAGTGGAAATCTGAAGGTGTCGGGGGGGGGGATGAACTTAGTTTATAGAAGAAAGGAACTAAATACCTGCCCAAAAAAAGAGAAGAAGCTGATTTTTGGTTGTATAGTATTTTACACTTTGATCTGCTACATCTGCCTATTATGGGCAGATGTGCTTGTCTTTCCTTGTATCCTTTCTATATTTTCCTCTCCCTCCCCTCCCCCCAACCTTACACCAAATATCATGGATATGAGCCCAAGTATCCCAGACAATCCAGTGAATAGCTAGTGTAATGCACTGGTGTGATGTGTGAGATTTTAAAAAGTCTCTCCCTTTCAATCTTCATCAAAGTTCTGCTGTAGGAGAAAGTTGGCTGCCAAGTTTTCATTCTTCTCACATGCAAAATATGCTTGTATCACAAGTCCTTCAGGGAATCCTAGTGCCTTTAACTGCAGGAAGGAAAAGATAATTAAAAATTTAAACTGAAAGCACAAATTCTTCCAATAAATTCCTAGTCCCTAACATTGTTTTATGTTGCAAGAGGTTAACAGCATCACTATCTTTTCTGAAATACCATCCCACTAAAACAGATAGTATTCTCAGAACAGAATCCTGATACATAGCAGAAATTAAAATGACTCAATAATAAATGATGACATATAGGAAGCAGGCTGTCAATTTTTAATCCTCTGCAAAACTGCTGTTCTGAAATACTAATTGGAACTATCTGAAAGTTTAGAAACAAAGAATAGAAGATGAAGTTTTAACAAAGATTTGAGGCATTGTGTTTTAAGGTTTCTCTAATACATAATGAAACTGTGAGGTAGCTTACTATGTTATACATAAGAAAATGGTTAACAAGCATTTCCATGTTGTAGGAAAAACATGATGCATTGCCATTACAGTGAAAACATATGGTCGATGAAAAATATTGTTTTGCCACTTCAAAGATAGTTTCACTTCACGTTTACTTCCATGAATAAGGCAAAGCTTAATAATCATGCAGGTGTCTAGACAAAACCTTGGCCAGTATGAAGATAAATAATGAATATATGAATCGTGCTAAAGAGAATGTAAGGGCTTTAACACTGCTAGCATATATAACTGAAGATGAAAGCATAAAATCTTGCAGTTTTAACCTGCTGGCTTAACAGGGGTGAGCATCTGTTTCAATCTGTAACTTTAGTGTAAGGGATACAACTATAACTACTGAATTATCTTACAGCTTACTGAAGAGTATTAGAAGAGCTCTGAATACTGCAAGAATGCTTGCTATTATTAGTCTTGTAACTCTACTTTGTGAGAACAAAGCAAAATGCACCTTAAACAGCATGATGGCACAGCCTGAATTAACTGCAAGTGTCACCTGTACAAAAACGCAATAGTATGTTCAAGTTTCCAAAAAGTCAGTCATGCCCTCGCCCACCACATTCCATTCCATTTCCAACCCCCCAACCCCCAATTACCAAGCCACCATGGTTACTCAATCAAGTCTAATAATGAAAGCTATGCAGGGATGGTCCTGGTTAGTACTTGGGACAGAAGACCACTGGGATCATCAGGGATCTCTGTTCCAAGCCCAGGAGAGCCACAGCCAATTAGAATTGATAATACTTGTTTTAATGAATCAATGATATGACTCAATGGAAGATGGGTTTTCCCAAGCCTTCCAAAACTTCCCTTCTCCTGCTTGATAATCTTCTTATTGTAGATACTGAAAAATCCATTCACCTCTGAATTTCAAAAAAAAGAAGGAATAATAGAATGGGAAGCTATTCTCTACATGAAAAAGGAAGAACAAAAACGATGAGCTCACCCTTTCTATAGCTTCTTTTTCCTGAGGCGTTACTTGAATGTAGTTCATGTGACGACTTCCAGCTTCAGCTACTCCACCTCCGCCACCGCCACCTCCACTGCCACCTCCCCCTTGACCCGACTCCTGAACAGGCTCATTTAACATCTGAATAAAATGTTCTTGATGTTGGCTTATTTGCTGTGGTGCATGGGAGGACAAAAGCAAACAATACACTGAAATAAAGCACATTCACTCCTGCTGATAGCCTTAAAAATTACTATGGTACTGTGAATGTAATATCTGGAATGCAGATAGGAAAAAAATAAGTGTGGTAGCTAGTGGTTGTGGGTTTTTCGGGCCGTGTTTTGAAGGTTGTGCTTCCTAATGTTTCGCCATTTGGCCGGCATCTTCAGAGGATAGCACTCTGTGATAGCTAGTGGTGCTTTACTATTTGTTCATTTAGCTATCTGTTTCATTTACACTCCATCTTTTTCCTAATTCTGGATGCAACACAGCTCACAACATGATACATATTTTTATAACTGAAGTTAACAAGGCTTGCCTAATTTACTGCCTAACTGCCCACAGTACGGATTCCACTACACTTTATAAAAGGGGCCTACCACTCCAGAAGACAACTCAGGATGTTTTAAAAGTCACCTGCAATAATTGAGGGTTTTCCCGGCCTATCTGTTGTAGTAATGCAGGCAGAAGAGATGGATTTTGCTGAATAATTTGTCTCATCTGCTGGAACTGAGGCTGGTTTCTTAAAAATTCAAGAGGATGTCCTGAAAGAGAAGGTTTCAAGATATATGATTACTGAATATTAAATATTTGTAAATGAAAAATACAGTAGCTGAAAAGGGTTTTGAGAGTTAGATGCCTGCTGTGCCTTAAATCCTACTTTTAGTTGGAATGTAAATGAAAAATACAGTAGCTGAAAAGGGCATTGAGAGAGAAGATGCCTGCTATGCCTTAAATCCTACTTTTAGGTGGTACGTCTTTTGCTTAGTTGTTAGACCTTTCCACTAGAAATGACAAATCATCTCAGAAAGGAAAGTAATTCCTCAATATCTGGTGTGAAGTACGTTAGCAAGAGCAAAGTTTTACTTGCTTATAAAAATGTTGTGCTTATCGCCTAATCTGCAAGGCACTTTAATTAGTCAATAAACAGAATTTAGATCAAGACAGGCTTTAGCCTCACAAAATACAAACCACAACTATAATCCAGCTGTACTGTATTAACCTTTTACAAACTTTGCACAAACCTACAAAGCTAACTTAACAACATAATCTATTTATTTCCCAAAATTAATAATTGTTCTCACATGTTGCTTCTCAGTTTCAACTACAGAGCACTCAGTGAATCAACAGTATTTTTCTAAGTGTTGTTTTTCCAATCAGTGATCAAAGCAGAATTTCATTCATATCATGCAGGGATTCTGCAAGTGTTTGGAGGTGCACCTCCAAGCACTGACCAAGTCCTATTTTGTATACCTCTTCTGTGTGCATGGAGAGACTGGAAATGGGAACTGTGAGGTGGAACCTTAGGACATCTGGAAATGGGGGTGGTTGGGTGGGTCCCTGTCTCCTGATATCACCTGGCCCAGTTCCTCATCTCTTTTATAACTGAGTCATCCAATACCTTCACCTTATGTTAAAAATTTGGTTAGCTATGTTTTATAAAGTGGTGTGGAAATAATCTGAGCTGTAGAATCACATCCCAAGATAAAAACAACACACAACTACTCACTGGAGTAGCAATTTGTGTGTGAGTTGGGATGAGACATATATTTCTTGGAAGAGCACCTTATTTTCAAGATTCTGAATTTTCAGTAACCATAGTTCTTCGAGTGGTCCTCTGTGAATCCACACAAATGGGTTAGACTGCCCCTGCGCAGGACTCCTCGGAATCTTCTAGAGCTTAAAAACATGTGATTAGTAGGATGTTCTCCCGTGGCGTGCATGCTCTGCCTGTCCGTAATACCTCAGTTCTGAAATGTCCACTGCTGTCAAGGCTCTAACAGCAACAAAGCTCAAGAACCAAAGTGACAGACAGTGGGGAAGATAGGAGGGATGTGTGGATTCACAGAGGACCACTCAAAGAACTATGGTTACAGGTCAGTAACCTCTATTTCTTTTTTGTGGCCTCTGTGAATGCACACAAATGGGTGACTAGCAAGCTCACTTACTGGAAGGAGGGCCATCACACCAACACTGAACTCAGCACAGCTCTTCCAAAACTTGCTTCCTTTTTGGCCCTGACATCCAGATGTTAGTGCGTCACAAAGGTTGATGGTGTAGAGCAGGTGAGTAAGCTGTGGGTTTGAGGTGGCCGATAGGAAGAAAATCTGTACACTCGAAGAGGTAACCATAATGTATGATGGCGAGCACCCAGGTGTCTTTGGTGACAATAGACCACTTGTCGAAGGGGCTAGCCGGGGATGATGGGAAAGGTTGTGCAGATGGTTCGGAATAGGATAGTCAAAGATACTGTTTATTTTTCTTTGAAGGACGACGGAACGTTTGGTGACGTTGGACAGGAACCTGTGATCTGAAAGCAGTGGTAGCAGAAGAAGCTAGAGGAGGATTGGACCTCTCTTGAGAAGGAATGGAGCATGCGCTCAACATCAGAAGAAGGATTAGGGAACAATGTCAGAAGAATTAGTGATTGATTAATGTGGAAACTCAAAATCACTTTAGGGAGAAAAGACACATCAGGATATAAGACAACCTTGTGTGGGTGAAACTGTACATAAGGGGCATCAGCCTAAAGGGCAGTCAACTCATTTGCTCTCTGTGCAGAAGTAATAGCCATGAGAAACAAAAGTTTTAATCAAGAGAAGTTTAAGATGAGTAGAAGCCATGGGCTCGAGAGGTAGGCGAGCAAGAGCCCGTAAAATGACCTGGTGAGACCACTGAGGAAGTGGAGGCCAGTCAGGTGGGCAAATGTTACGCAAACCCCTAAGGAACCTATTAAAAATCGGAGGTGAAAATAAGCAGGAAGCTTCTGAACCCACAGGCTGGTAAGAAACAATAGTGGGAATATACACTTTTAACGTTGAGTGGGCCAGACCTCGATCAAATAGATAACGGATGAAAGTAAGATAACGGATGAAAGTAAGAAGAGTATCTAATGAAACTGAAACAGCCAGAAGACCTCTGGAAGCAGTAAATTTGGTGAAGACAGACCATTTATAAGAGTATAGCAATTTTCTAGAAGGTTTTCTAGCTCTGTCCAATACTACTTTTACACTGGGAGAATCCTCCACACCGTCAGGTGAAGCGACTCCAGGTTGGGATGACAGACCTTGCCTTCGTCCTGAGTTAGGAGGAATGGTTGGAGAGCTAGTCTCAGAAACTCGGAGGCGATGGTTTTGAGGGTGGTGAACCATGGCTGACGAGGCCACTGTGGGGCTATCAAGATGGCATTGGCTCACAACTGACGGATCCTGATTATCGTTCCCTGAATGAGCAGAATGGGAGGGAAAAGATAAAGGAGGACATTGTTCCAGCTCACCACAAAGGCATCGCCCAAAGAGTCAGGGCCTCTCCCTGCCCGAGCGCAATACCTGCTGCATTTCGAATTGGCTTGGGTGACAAATACGTTGATGGCTGGCGCTCCCCACCGATCACAGATATGGGAGAATACAGAGTCGTCATGAACCCACTCGTGAGTCTGAGTGGGAAGATGGCTCAGACAATCGGCCACATGGTTGTCCTCTGTAGACACATGAATAGCGATTGGAAAACTATGGTGATCGTAGCACCATTCCCAAAGGTGGATCGCTAAATAAAGAAGAGACAAAGAGTGAGTACCCCCCACTGCTTGTTGATGTAATACATGGTGGTCATGTTGTCCGTGGCCACCCATACTCCACAACCATGAGAGGATATAACACGTGGAAAGCCTTGATAACCTCCAGCTTCTCTAGATGGTTGATATGTTACGACTTCTCCATGCTGGACCATAGAGTGTCAATCTTGTGAGTGCCACATTGCACGCCCTAGCCTGTTGAGCTGGTGTCCATCGTGATTTGGACCATCAGTTGGAAGGGCCTGAAAGGTCGGCCAATTAGAAGGTGGGGCACAAGCATCCACCACATCAGTTGACTTGCAAGCTCTGGAGTCACACGTAGGCATTTGGCAGAGTTGTCCAACAGAGGATTGAACTTGGACAGGTACCACGCTTGTAGAGAGTGCATCTTTAACCGAGCATGAGGAAAAACAGATGTGGTCAAAACCATGAGACCTAAGAGATGCTGTGTGCGGTGAGCAGCAACCTTGGCATACAGGCGAAATGGATGAATAGCTCGTCTTAGTTTGTCAATTCTTTCAGCCGGAAGGAAGACCCTGGGGCTCTGATGGAATCTAAGTGAGCACCAATATAGTCCATGGCCTGAGACAGTTGGAGATGGGCCTTTGCAAAGTTGACCTGTAGGCTTAGATCTGCCAGAGTCTGGAGGGCAAAGTCGTCCTCTAGACTCTAGAGCAGGTGAGTAAGCTGTGGGTTTGAGGTGGCCGATAGGAAGAAAATCTGTACACTCGAAGAGGTAACCATAATATATGATGGCGAGCACCCAGGTGTCTTTGGTGACAATAGACCACTTGTCGAAGAAAGGGGCTAGCCAGGGATGATGGGAAAGGTTGTGCAGATGGTTCGGAATAGGATAGTCAAAGATACCGTTTATTTTTCTTTGAAGGATGACGGAAGGTTTGGTGATGTTGGACAGGAACCTGTGATCTGAAAGTAGTGGTAGCAGAAGAAGCTGGAGGAGGAATAGACCTCTCTTGAGCAGGAGGTCTGTAAGAGCGATAGGCCGGATGGGAAGATTGCTGATAAGATTGCTGGGTATTGAAAGGTCTGTGCCACTGGTAGCGTTGGTATCATGGCTGCTGGACAGAATAAGAGCTATCTTCTGGATCTTATGTAAATTGTCCATCACCTCATCCATCTTCTCATTAAACAGTCCAACACCATCAAATGGAAGGTCTTCAATGCGGGACCTAGCATCGTCCGTGATTCCCACTGAATGCAGCCAAGCATGCGTCCTGAGTGCAATAGCCGATGTCATGACCTTGGATGCAGCCTCAGCCATGTGACAGGATGTTAAACGCTGTTTAGCCAATGTCGTTGCCTCCAGGTGAGCATTGAGAACACTGGCCCTAGTCTCCTCAGGAGCAGCCTGGAGGACTGGCAAAACCTTGCTCCACAACTGCCTCTGACAAGCCCCCATAGCCGGCTGATAATTTGAAACTCTTCAAAGACAAGGTCCTGCTTGGGAGGAGGAGTACTCCAGAAATCACAAACGGTAGTCAGAAAACCAAACCAGAATAAAAAAACATAAGATAGCAAACAATTCAAAACAGCTCTAGACGTCACGAAAGAGTCTGATCTCAGTGGTGGCAAGAAGGAACTGAGGTATTACAGGTGGGGGGAGCATGTGCGCCATGGGAAATGTCCTACTAATCACGTTTTTAAGCTCTAGAAGATTCCGAGAAGTCCTGCACAGGTGCAGTCTAACCCATTTGTGTGCATTCACAGAGGCCACAAGGAAGCTGAGCCTCTACAAATTAAAGAATCTGCATTCCTATGCAGATGTTTCAACATGTCAGACAGATGTTGGCTTTCTTGTCTGATCTTTACCTCAATTAACAATAATGGAATATAGGACTTATTAAGCCGTCTGCCCAGAAAATATGTGTCATGAAACCTATTCCAAAACAGGTTTGTGTAAAATAGGAGTGTGATATCTAGAATTGTGTCTTCCTTATTGCTAAAAATTTGCTTGTAGATCCAGGATTTAAGGGAGATGAGCTAAACTGAAGGGTGAAGGCAAGTGTGAGGTAAAGATACATTACCCTAGTGGGATGGTTCTACAGATTTGCAGCAAGGTCTTTTGAAACGTAGTTATCGTACCTCCTGTAGAACTAGTTGTGGTGGTGGTTGTAGTGGTAGTCGCGGCGGCTGCAGCTGCTACTGCTGAAGATGGAGAAGCACCAGTACCGGCTGCTTGAGGAGGATCGGTCATACCTTGACTTTCCCTATCTCCAGGGATACCCTAAAATGAGTATAATAACATTAGTTTAGGTTCAGCTAGACTTTGAAAAACAGTCACTGATGTATGAACAGGATCCTGGCAGCTGCCTATCAATTTGTCTGCCTTCTCAGGTCATAAGTTTAGCACCTTTTCACTTGTTCATCACCAAGTGTGGCTAGAATAGACAGTACATGGGGATGGCCTTTTAATTGGCAGTCCACATATTTCTAGAAGGTCTCCATTAAAGGTCTGCCAGGTCTCATCTTTGGAGGTTGTCAAGAAAGTTGTGAAGATCCATCCATTTTTGCCAATCTTCTAAGGTTAAGCTGCTCTTATATGTAATTACAGTTTTAAATGAATTTCACTGTACTTATATTTTTAATATTATTTTTAACTTCTAAGCCACCTTGATAGAATTTTGCCCTTAAAGAAAACTTCAAAACAATTTTAAATAAAGAAAGAATTACTGAACCAGGGCTTTCATTTGTATCATCCCCAAGTCTTGCCTCTCCTGCTCTCAAGGCCTCTGTCTTAACACAGGACTATTCAGTAGTTACAGATATGAACACAAATCACAGAACTAAGAAAACATGCTCACCATTAGAAGATACTCCACTGCCCTATCAGGATTGTTGAAGCTAGCTCTCAGTGCAGCAATTACTTGTTCTCTTTCATATCCCATTGACATGATCTCAGTCACCATATTTTCATAGGACTGACCAGTCACTGCAAAAACCAAGAAAGTAAATATTGAGGAGGAAAAGTTAACTGGAGCTAGAAAAGGTGGTGTCAGGAAAAAGATTGATATTTAACAGAACAGTCATTATAGTAGCCTGAATACTAGTGGCATAGCAAAATCCATTTCTATTTCAGGTACCTCAATATGTGTGTTTTTAATTATTAATATTTCTGCACCATCTTCTTGAAAAATGGGAACAGGGAATCCTTCAAAATGAAACATACAGTCATAAAAGAAAAACAAATTAAAAGGTTCCGATTACCTTTTCTGATACAGAGAGAGAGAGAGAGAGACTGAACTGAGATTGTTTTTGTTTTTTTCTCAACACTGTAAATGAAAATCTAGCAAAGTACTGATGGAGGAAGAGAGCAATCTTTTGCTCTATCTAGAGCTTGCCAATGGGACTTGGGCAATGGAGGGACAGGGAATCATCAAAAGAGCAAATCTTTCTCTGCAATCTCCCCAAAGACTGAAATTTACTATTAAATTAAATAATAACAGTTAGGAATGTCAACAGTTACATGAAATAGCAGAAAGCTTAGAGAAATGAAGTTATAAGGTATGTATACTATTGAAAAGACAGTGCAAAAAACAAGTCTTCAATGAATGAACTGAAGTTAAGCATCAAAGACATTAGAATCCAAAAAGGCTTATTCAAAAGTAAGCAACTGGACAAAATGGAATAAAGAACTGTACAACTTCTTTCAGTTCATAAATAAAATTTAGGGAACCATGCTAAAGTACATCAAAAATCAGAAAGGCTACCTGACAGGACTAGTGAAGGAAGATCATAAAATGACCAGACAGTATACTGAACTTTAGGGGAAGGTGTTAGCTAAAGGGAAATGATTTATACAATCAGAAGAAAAACTAGACTATGAAACAGTTAAGCCACACTGAGCCCCCCCCCCATTCTAGTACCAGAGCTCTGAAGATCATTCAGAGATTCAGACATAAATGAGGGAATGTCCATCCAGTGAACCATACTCACATTATATCTATAGGGCATGGTCTTTACATTGTCTGGATCTCATCAGTGCCTACATAAGCAAGTACTTGGACCTCTGACCATATCAAGGTGGAGATATATAGATAATAATATGCAACTTTAAATACTGCAATTTGATGTCACACAACCGAGGAACATTTCTTGGGGATTACAGAAATTTGTAAAAGTTAACAATTCAACCTATTGACTATAATCTGCTTGTTAATAACGTGAAAAAATAAGGCCAAGATTGAGTGTTGAGCAGCTGTAGAACAAACCTCTTTGTTCTACACACAGTAATGTCTGAATTCTAATCCGATGATTTAGTTTAATACATCTTTTTAATATATTTGTAAAATCTATTGGAGACTTCAATGTTATTCTCCTTCCAGAACAAATAAATTTAGAGGGGTTTAAATCATCGTTGCGCATCATCATCAACCTATTAGAACGCAAACTCTCCCCTGAAGAATCCTCAGTCTTAGCCAAAGGAGGAAATTTTGCAGTCACACCCAGTAAAATTCCTATGGAAGACATCATTGCCAATGTGTATATCATCTTCCAGAAGAAAAAGCAGAAGAAATAAGAGGTGAAGTGACTAGGATCCTATGAAAA